CAGTATGGTGGAGGGTACTAGATTCAGAATCAGAGGACTTAAGTCTGAATCCCTGCTCTGATACACATTACTTGTATGACCTTGGAAAAGTCACCTACTCTCTCTAAACCTGAATTTCCTCATTAATAAAATGAAGGGGTTCAATTAGATGACCTCCAAGGTACCATCCAGCTCTAAATCTATAATCCTATGGGTATAGTCGATACCTAGGACATGATGTTGATGGATTTTTGTCCTATTTTTTATTCTTTGTTATATATCTCGGGAGAGAGAATGGGGGAGAGGAGTATATTTTTAAGGAAAGTGATGTAAAAAACAAGTTTTTCAATGATAGGAAATAAGAATAGAAAAGATTACAAATTTGGGAAATTAGTGATAATAGTTGATATCTAAACATATAGCACTTTAATTATTTGATCTTTAAAAGTAGCCCTGTCAGGTATTTTATAGATGAGGAAATCAAGACCTAGAGAAGTTCATTGATTTGTCTGTGGTCACACGACTACCAAGATCAGAGGTAAGCCCATGTCTAAGCATGGGGTGGGGGGTGGGGTGGGGAAGATAAACCTTTAAGTACAGTCTATATAAACAAACATACAACCTATATAAACCAAGAGGTACAAGTTTTGGTCCTGTCAAACAAACAGTTAAATGCCTAGTGCTATCATTCTGAAAAAAATTTCCAGTTGAAAAGGCCCTCAGGAATCCAAAGTACTCCCAAGCACTATTAATTGTCAAATTCTGTACCTCATCTATTGTAGTTTCCATATTTTACCGTGTTTCTGTTGCTAACATCCCTAGATCAATAGAGATGAACATCTCTTAGGATGAATGGGTAGGAAATGGAATCAATCACACGAATTCACGTGCCAGGTACTGTTCTAAGAACTGATACCAAGAAAAAAATGAAAAAAACATCTCTGCCATAGAGGACCTTACAATTTATTGAAATGCAAGGAATGATTTTAGTACTACTTTCATATGCCACTTTTTGTCCTTTTCTTGGTCATTTACAATTTATGTTAAAAATATGCTCAAAGACAAATATCCCATTCTATGAGCAATACTATTAATGGGAAATTTGTAGTACCTCTGATCATTGTCTTCCTTCATTTTGGGAATTTTACTAGAGGCAGGGTAGGACTCATAAATTCTGTGCTAGGACAACAGGCAGCCCAGTTGCTCCAATCTGATTATGGGTTCAGGAACTGAACATTTTCACGTTGTGGTATAATTTGATTAGCAGATGAATAAGAGGAGATGTCTGTGGCATGAGGAAGCAAAAAAAGGACAACAGAGAAGAGATTAATTATTTGGTGTAGAGATTTTAGCTGGGAAGACCTAGGTCTCATTCAGAGATGGTCTGTGTGACACTGGGCCAATCATTTAAACTCTCAGTACTCTAGGTAACTCTCTCTTTTTTCCCCCCCAGTGGCAATCAGGGTTAAGCGACTTGCCCAGCGTCACAGAGCTGGTAAGTGTCTGAGGCTATTGGGTCAATCATTTAAACTCTCTCGGTACTGCAGGTAACTTTTTTTTTCCTTTTCTTTATTTTTTTAGAGATAATCAGGGTTAAGTGACTTGCCCAGGGTCACACAGCTAGTAAGTATCTGAGGCGCTCTAGGCAACTTTCTAACACTCTTAAGTTGCCCAGTTTCCTGAAGCCTCCTACACCAATTAATCACACTGAAAAGCACTTATTAAGCACTTAGGATATGCTAGGTCCAGTCACTATACTTATTCCTACTATAATCAAGAAAAAGAGCTCATGCCCTAAAACAGATTAATTTGGTAGACAGTTTTTCCAATACAGCACACAAGTTATCTCTTTGGCTAAGTACATGAAGGATTTATTCACTCAAGAAAACTGTGGAAAATATTAACTCTTGTGCGTTATCACAGGGCTGGCTATACGGGATCTTCAGATGTGTAGACCTGGAGCATTTCCCTGCATACGGTCAAATAAGCTCCAGAAAGGTAATCAGGAAGAAAAGCAGAAGTCCCAATCGTCCACAAAATTTGGGCTGTGCTGCTAATTAGTCATTTAACCTCTTTGGCTCAGTTTCTTCATTTGTAAAATAAAAACCAAAACTCACATTGGTACAGGTAAGGCTTTAAGGTTTGCAAAATGCTTTCCTAATAACAATCCTTGTAGGTCAGGAGTAGAATCATTATTATCACAATTTTATAGATGAGAAAAGTGAGCCACAGGTTAAGAAACCAACCCAGTGCTTGAGAATGCACTTGAACCTGGATCTTCTACCCCAAGAACAGTGGTTTTAGGAGTATCATGAAGAAGAAACAAGATAATTCAGCAGATATAGAAGTGCTTTGAAAACATAGAAGTACTATATGGATTTATATAGGCCTGGAGGCCACATGTGGCCTTCTAGATCCTTAAGTGTGGCCTTTTGACTGAATTCAGTCTAGGTCTTAACATTTTTACATTGTAGAATTCCTCTGATTATCTCAAAATTTGGTAGAAGGGCTGCTAGGTCAATAGAAAGATCAGAGATTTAAAGTTGAAAGGGACTTCAAAAGCCATATAGTCTAAACCAAGTCCCTCATTTTATGGATTAGCAAACTGAGGCCCATGGAGATTAAGAAACTTGACCATTGTTACATATACAAGGTAATAAGATTAAAAGAATTTGAATCCAGATCCTCTGACTGCAAAGACAGTATTCTTTCTACTACAGTACCAAAGACCTCAATCCAAATCCTGTCTGTCCTCTTTCCTCTTTGCTGGCTGCTGCTCTAGCAGAAGAACCTGAGAAACAGGACTATATTCATTTCTAATTAAACTACATTCATGAATTCATCTTTGTAAATACCTTATACAATGAGATTTATAATTCACACACCCCGTCCATGAAGATCCTTAGACAAACAGAGATGGTTGTCTCGGAAAAGCCTTTGCCTTTTGGCTTATTATTAAGGAAAAGTAGGAAATACATTTAAGTTTCTGACTTATGAAATAATTCTATTTTTTAAATTGAGATTTTCTATTTTCCAACATTTACATTTCCCATTGTATCCCACTATTTCTCAGCTCCCTACCCAACTCTTATAACAAAAAATTTTTGAAAAGGAAAAAAAAATCAGGAAAATTAACCAACCCACTGAAAAAATCTAAAATTATATGCAGTATCAGGAAATAATTCTAGGATGAGCTCCACAGTACACTCTATCCAACTCTCAGTTATATAGTTTATGTACTACTGAGGTATATGCTTTCCCTCCTCCCTCTTTCCAGCTGGATACTTCACTAAATCCTTAAAAAAAGAAGAAACCAAACAGCCTGCTATTTGTTAGAAATGAAAGTTTTAAAATGTCTGTCCTGAATTATCATTCTTTTTAGTTATGTGATCCTGGGCAAGTCACTTAACCTCCCTTTAGTTCCCTCGTGTAAAATGATTGTAACATCACCTCCCTTCACAGGGTTGTTCTGAGGATAAAATGAGATGACACTTGGAAAGCAATCTGCAACATTAAATCACCATGCCTGGGTGGTGAGGGTGGGGCAGTGGACAGAGCTCCCCCCTTAGAGTCAGGAGGCCCTGAGGTCAAATCTGCCCTCAGACACTTGACACTTATTAGTGGTGTGACCCTGAGCAAGTCACTTTGCCTCACCAAAAGAGGAAGAAAAAAAATCACCATGTAAGTGCCAGTATATTATTGTTACTATTATTATTACTACTGTGGATGCTTCCATCCTAAAAATATAACAAAAATCCATAAACTCAGTGGTTATTCCTGCCTCTTTTTATTTTCTTAAAGCATTTTCAGATTGCATTGCAGACTTTTTAGTCGGGTGTGTCCCAAACCAAGTCACAGAAAGCCTGTCAGTACTGAAAACAACTTAAAAAAGGCGATTTCCAACTCAGAATGCCTTCCCCAGTGGGTTAACAAAGTCCAAGGTCTTAAGGAAACAGTGTCAAGATGACACATCGAACACGAATCCAGAAATGGGCAAGTACAGGATTTCAACAGCTCTTTGCCTTCTCCCAGCAAAGATTTAATTAACGAAAGCAGAGTCAGGCTGTCAGAAGCAGGCACGTTTTGCTCCTCCTGTCAGTGGTGGGTAGGAAGTGGAGCAAAGATGACCGAGAGTCATACTTTTTTAATATCACTTTTACAAATGCAATATTTAAAAGGTTTTTTTTTATCAATAATCTTCATTCTCCATAATGTTTATTTAAAAATATACCTATCCTCTACGTGAAGATCTACCTTTGTAACAACGAATAAAAGTAAAAAAGGGGGGGAGGACCCAATTCAACACATCAACCAAATCAAATAGTACAGTCTATGTTTCACACCTGTGGTCTACCATCTTCTCTGGGGAAGGTCATTATAATTACACATAGTTCAAATTTTTTTCTTCCAATTTATATATGTATAGTATATATGTGTGTGACCATATACATACACATACACACACATATATATACATGCATACATAAATTCAGTCACTTAGTTAGTTCTTATAAAACGCTTTCATGCCAGGCATTAAGATGTGTTGGAGGAAACAGACTACATCCTTAAGGTAATCATTTTTAACGCCAGAACATAAATTTCCCCCAAAGGTTTTTATGTTGCAATTAGTACCGTCGTGCGAATTACACCGAGACTCTGAACACCGGCTGTTCATCCCCACCCCCCCACCCCCCACCCCAGGCCGGGCGCAATTTTCAAACGCAAAAGAACACACTTCTCTAACTTCATCCCAGGGTTCCAAGTCCTCCAGGCTAGCCGAGACTCGGTTCTGGGGTGCAACTCCCACGCTAAGGTCAAGCAGCGAAGGGCTCTCCTCCTTCCCCGCGCAGAGGCGGACGATGGGCGGCGGTGTGTGTGTCCCACTCCGCTCTCGGCCACCTCCAGCGGGCTGTAAGGAGGGGCTGCGTCTCTCCACACCAAGGGGTCCGAACCCGCGACCGCCCCGCGCCCCCGTCCCACGCCGCATCCTTTTCCCCGCCCCACCCACGCACCCTCCTTACCTTGTAAGCAAGGCTCTCCGGGAGGCGGCGGCACCAGCACCCGCTCCCCCATGGTCCCGGGACGGGGCTCGCCGGAGCAGACCCAACGCTCCCTCACCGACCTGCCCCTCTCCCCCGCCCCATGGCAAGACAACTCCTCGGCCCGCTGCCCCCGCACCCAGTCCTGGCCTCGCCACTCCACCGGCCTACACCTGCGGGTTCCTTCAGCCAATGGGGAAGCAGTGGGCGAGGTCTCCGCCCTGGCCACGCCCCTTCCCACGCTAAGGGACGGGGAGAGAGCGCAGGGTCCGGGACGGTGGAGCCCTCGGCTCATTGGCTGGAGATATCCTCGGGTCAGTGGCTCAAGGTGCCTGAGTCACATCGAGGACAACGGTGGCCTCTCTACCTTCTTTTAGCCTAACGAGAGGGGTGACCCTCTGGGAAAGAAAGCCCTGAGAAAGTTTGCAGATAATTCGCCCACCTTCTTTTCCTCCCCGGGTAGACCAGAGGGCTTGCCTGTGGGAAGGTAGCTTGTTTTTGTTTTTTGATTTTTAAACGTCTCACCTTGGCTGTTATTGGCTTTGTTATTTAGGCTGCTTCTGGTTCCTTCTGTCCTTGGTTGATCCCCAAACCCAAGGTACACTGTAGGACTCGGCACGCAATTTTGTTTTTTTATTTCAGTTGTAATCTCAGTATCGATAGTTGAAAGTGACCATAGAAAGCACTGAGTGCTTTTAAATGAACATACTTTGCAACCATGTGTTTTTGCTCTGCATGAGTGGATTAGATAATTTTTAAATGGGTAAAAAAACAAACAGTTTTCATACTAGAATTCCATAGTGCCCCACTTGCTTTTTTATTTTTTATTTCTTTTAAAAAATGAAACCCAAAAGGTTAGGTGACTTGGCCAACATGTCAGTAAGAGAGTAGTCTGACTTTCGAACCCACATCCCACTGATTCCAACTTTAGTGTTTTTTCCACTATCCCCTCTGCTTTTTTGTGCCTTAAAATTCTTCAAAATAAACTTAATTCTTCACTGAAAACCATTGCTCACCATCGTCTAAAGTTGAAAACATCCTAAATTCATAACAGACCATAGTACATGTGAAATGGATAGTTGGTTAAATCAGAACTTTACTAGGTAGGACATTTTTCATTAATTCTATTTTTTTTTTAAATAAGGAAGCTGGAACGGTCATTTAGGTTTTGTGCTTGGTACTTAAGAATTAAGTGAAATGAACTCATTTTGTGACCCTTTTTTCTTTTGCATAGGAAGTGCTATTAAGTTTATTAGGTAGTAGTGTCATAAATCTTGCTTTTCTTGTTTTCAAGGTAATGGGGGAAGAGTTAAAGAGCAGTTAGTCAAAGTAAATCACTAAAGCATATAGTTATCTTGCATACAGATTTATGGTTGATCTTTCACAAGTATAGGAGGGAAGTAAGGTGAAAAAAAGTGGAAGGTAAACTGGGCAGTAGTCTGAAAAATGATTCGTGCCAACAGCTAAAAATCAGTTTTTAAAATTGAGCTGCTTGTTTTATGGTATTATTTGTTGTTATTTTGGACTCTTTGAAGCCAAATGACCTTCCTTTGTGGAAAAACCAGTAAATTAATGAATTGCTGAAGGACTCTCCGACCCAGTGATCTCTCCTGGAAAAATTAGCTGAGGAAATCGGTGACAGAAAAGTCCTGTTTGTGTCAAAATAAGTCATAGCTTACTATTTGTGTTAGAAAAAAATGGAAACAAAGTGTGCCCCTCTTCTGTTGGGTGATTGAACAAAATGTGATTCATAAATGTGACAGAATACTGTTGCATTGTAAGAAATGACACATATGAAGAATTTTGAGTAACATGGGACATATGAATTATGCAGAACAGAGGAAGCAAGGCCAAGAGAAAAAAATGCACCATGGCTATAGTAATATGAATGAAAACATTAAAATGCAGCTTAGCTCATATTAATTTCAATGAAAAATCATGTTTGAAGAGAACAAAGGATGAAATATTCTTTCTCTAGCAATGAGGCTGCTAAATGGTGTTTAAATTGGTGGTGTTAAACTCGATGGAAAGGAGGGGCCAGCTAAACTTTACATAAAGATACTTTCAGGCTATCTATTGACTTAGATTGAATATTTACAACTTGCTAATTTATCTTTGTTTTATTGTAATCTTATTTATTTTGTAAATATTTCCTAATTACATTTTAATCTGATTCCTGCCACACTTAGCCCTTGGGAGTGTTGTTGGACACTTGGGGCCTGAAGACATTGTGTTTGATTGTCTGATTTACATTATCACCTATGGTTGCTTTGCTTAGAAATTTTGCTTAATTTTTCAGTGTGCATTGTGAGGGATAGAAGTAAAAACAAAAGCACCAAATTTTAAAATGTAAAAAACAGAAACATATATACATATGTGTATACATATACATGCACATGTAGTTTTATATGTGTGGATACATAAATACGTGTGGGCAATATACATATATATGAATATATACATGAGAACACACACACACACACAAACAACCCTCCACAGTCAGCTTCTGATTCATGTCACAGAGTCTCCCCTGGGCATACCAAAATTTGATTCATATAAAAAGACCCTAGCTCCCATGAGAGGAATTAGACTGACAGTATCCTGAGTTCAAGATAAACTTTATTTCACACTGGAGGTCTAAAAGTTAATTCATTGCCTTGCTATTGTGGGATGATTTAGGAACTAGAGAGAATCTGTCTTATTTTTCTAATCATGTTTAGAATTTCTATAGTTTAATATGATAATATGTTTTGCATGATTAAACGTGTATAACCCATATAAAATTGCTTACTGTCTCAAGGAGGAAGGAAGTGAGGGAGGGAGAGAGAAAATTTGGAACTCGAAAATTTTTGAAAATGAATGTTAAAAATTGTCTACATATAAATGGGGAGAAATAAAATATTATTCAAAAAAGAATTTCTACAGTCTGATGATAGTTTACCAATAGAAATAAATGGATTATAGCTTTTATTAACTGCTTAGCTTGAGAAAAAAAGTCACAAACCAAAGATGAATTCATGGTTTCAAAATATAAATAACATTAAATAAAGACAATATGTTTGCAGATCCTGTACTTCCCCCCCACACACACTTATTTAATTCTCTAAATAAGTAAAAAGCAAGTTATTTTTTATTGCCTCTGTTATGGATTTATATTAGGAGAATCTTGGAAGGACTATCCCATTACCTGCTCTCTGAATATATTCTCATTATTACAAGCATCTTAACAGCCTTGTAGGTCCTGCTTCCCATGGGCTGGATCCTGAAATTAAACACACACACACAAACACACATACACACACACACACACACACACACGAAAAAGAAAAGGAAGAGGTTAGCATTGACTAATTTAGCCAAAGGTCTCAGAGATTTAGAAAAAAAGAATTTCAAACATTTAATGATTTCAGACTCAGAGAAACCCTTCTCCCTCAACTAAATATAGTCATTAAATTACAGGTACAATATAGTCAATGTCATACTAATAAGAATTTAAAATTAGTTTTAATAGGATTGTGGAAGATTACAGGGTGCTGACAAAGCAAAACATGCACACAGATTAAAACTGGTCTACTAAACAGATAATCCAGTATTGCTATATTTTTTCTTTCAGTCAAGGTTACTTATCAGCATCCTGGATACGATAGGGGAAAGAAAACCAGATATTATTGGGTCAAATGAAATTTATAAGGAAAATTTAAAAATCTAATGTTCCTTCAAAGGAAAATATCCTATTGTGTACATTTTCTGTGAAAGCACAAACTGAAGTTTTCCCAAAAGGAATAAAGTTTAATAATTTATCTGCCAATATTTTGAGTTAGCATTCTATACCCAAGTGACAATTTCTCATTTAATGGTTACCAAGTATTATGCTGACAAGTAGTTTTTTCAGATTTACATCCTGAGAACACAAAAGAATAATTTTATTTGGCCATGTGCCCTCAACTATCATGACATGAATTATATTTGAAAATATAAGACTATTGGCTATGTGTGTATATATCATAATCATATGTAGACAGTGAAGTATTCAGCAAAGAAAGTCTTTCAAAATGGCCTGTGCAGCAACTTTCTACTTCTGAAGGAATGGTGATAGAGTGATCCAAAAGGGGGCAAAGAATACTGAGAATCATGCAGTTTTTAGACCATTAATAAACTTTAATTTGATGTACCATTGTAATATTAGTACTCTAAATGTGACATCCTTGACCACTGACCACTAAGTATCTGTAATGGCTGGAGGAGCTGAATTATTTCAATCTTGATGCTCTTTCTATAAAGGAATCCAGAAGGGGGGAAGGAAATTGCAGTGAAATGGATAAAAAGCTCACATGTATACCTTACAGAGCCAATTAAAGGAATTGGCAAGGTGGGTTTTTATCATTATACACAAGCTATGAGAAATATTATTTCGTTGGACATTTGTTCATTATATATTGCAATGTCAAATGTTAAGTGTTTATAAAAAAGACTACAGTGAAAATAATTACAGCTTGCTCATCAATATCACATGCTGAGGATGGAGTAATAGAGAAGTTCTATTAACAACTTGATAAGACCATTTCAAATAAAATCAAAATATACTCTGATAATTGGTAACTTCAATGCAAAACAAAGGCAAGGATGGGGAGAGTTATGGGGAGGAAATATGCTGCAGAGAAAGAAATGAACAAGGCAAAGACTTTTGATTATACAGAAGGGTTACACTTCTATATCATAAATACCTCCTTAAAAAAAAAGAATTGGTGCTAGAGATGTTGGGCACTAAATAACATCATAAAGAATGAAATTGGCTACAGATGGTCAAAGATTTATTGATGTAAGAGTTCCCCCTGTGTGCATTCAGATCATTGACTTGTCAGAGGCAAGTTCAGAATTTATAATAAATGAAGAGAAATAATAGTAAAGAGAAAAAGACATGGTGTGAAATTAAAAATGAGGGTGGTCAAAAAAAATGACTGACACCAATTTTAATTTCATCCAGAATTTAAGTAAATGTAAATTAATTTCCTTGATAAGAAATCTCAGAAAGTGCCTTCATTAGCAAGCATTTGATTTGCCCAAATGGAGAGAGATGACTGCCAAAAGCAGCACTATGTTACAACGTAAATTTATCTGTAATTATCTTAAGACGAAGGATGATGGACGGTTATAAGCTGTATCATCTCATAAAATGGA